TCAGGTCCCCTTAAAGTTCTGTAAAATCGACCCAATGGTTGTAAATAGAATAGAATTACATGAGAAAATAATCTGTCCGCGCTATTTTTTTTCTTGGTTATGTGATTTGGGTGTTTTGAAAAAAAAGTCTTTTTGTAAAAAATGCAGAAAAGGAATGTTTTTAGTACCACATCACAATGTTGATGAATTAATTTGAATGTGTAAGTCTAATAAATGTGGTAAGTTAAAGATTTCTATACACAAAAGTTCAGTATTTGCAAATATTAAAGCATCTCTGAAACAAATAATTTTTATAATCTACGAATGGTTTGTTAAGACACCTTTCTGTAGAATAAACGGTGAATATGGAGTTAATTATAAGCCTTATAAAATAGTGATTGGATTTGATTCATAGCAAAATCGGGATAGATCATTTGACTAAAATAGGAGGTGATGGAAAGGTACTGGAAATTGATGAAAGTGCAGTTAGTAAACGCAAGTACAACATAGGAAGGTGTAATAAACAAGTTTGGGTAGTTGGGGGACTATGTAGATCGACAAAAGAATGCTTTTTTGAAGTTGCAATGAGAAGAGATAAAAAACACTCCAAAAAATCATCAATAGAAATGTAGAAGAATATTCTGTAATCATTACAGATGAATGGAAAGGATATTGTGATATTAAATTATATGAGTATGGACATTTTACGATAAAACATAAAGATGCATTTAAAGATAAAATTATACCACAAGTTCATACTAAAATATAGAAAAACAATAGAAGCGGTTGATACACTACTTAAAAACAGAGGAAATAATATAAAAAAATAATTTAAGTGAACATATAAAAGATTATTTATTTCTAAAAAAAGAAAATCCGTTTATGGAAGTTTTTGCACTGATAAAAATTAATAAAACTTTATTTTAAAAGAAACTGTCTATTTATTTTTCCCTAATATTTATTTTTAAGGGGCTCTGAAAGCAAATTTTAGCAAAAAACTTTCCAGTAATAAAATAAAAAGAAAGGGAGAGAAATCAACAAAACAATTTAATAGATTATATAAAACTGAGAAGAATACTGCTTCATCTTTTATTAATATTTGATGAACAACAAAATAATAATGAACAATTTTTACCTTTAAATTGAATTTAACAATAGCAGATCATAATATTAATATAAATGTTAATAGAGATAGAAAAGTGTTCTTTTTATGCTTAGGGGGTTCTGGCTTATAAAAATTATAGCTTTTCCTGACCTTTAATTTTTTTATATGAAAGCATAGAAGGTTCTATTTTTCAAATAAAGTCAAGAATTACTTATTTCTTTAGTTATTCAAGTAGTCGTACAATAAGAATTTTTAGGTTAACTTTTAATAATTCCGAATCTTATTAGAAAGTACCTGATTTGTTAAATGATGATACCATAGATTTGATAAATAGAAAGAGTATAATAATAGAAGGTGTTTTAGGATATTTAGACGCAGTTTTAACAATATATTTGAGTTTATGTGGGAATTATTTATGTAGTAAAAAACTGATAATAATGTAAAGGTGTGGTATGTAAGTAATTTAGAAATAGGATTAAAATTAGTAAAAGATTAAGAATTTGAATTTAAAAAATCAAAATAGATACAATAATTATAATACTTATAAAAATATATGCAGCAATCTGTTTATCATAATGAATTTTTATTGAGGTGTAAAACTCCAGGATTTTTTAAAATTATTAAAAGTTTAAATTTTAATTATCTAAGCTTTTAATAAAATTAACACTTGAATAAATATTCTTCAATTTTTTTTTTATTCTTACATCTGAAACAAAACTCGCTAAGTATAATTCAAGGTTAAATTATTTGAAAGTATCTGGCCTCAAGTCTTTTTAACCTAGACCACAAGTTTTCAATGTTTTGAGTGCGAGCACCAGTAATGCATTGACAAACTCTCTATAGTGGTTAACATTTCGTGATAATAACTGTCATTCCTCCAAAAAAGTGCATATAGCTGGGCCATTCGTCACTCAAAACTAAGGAATCTTCTTTAATTGCGTCCCTTATTACATTTCTAAGACAAGATGAGTTCTATTTTAACCTATTTTAAATAGAAGTTGCCTGTGTTTCTCTCTATTGCTCCCCAAAGCCATTTCTGTTCAGTTATCTTCCTTCTGTTATACTCCTTTTACTAATTAGTGTTTCGTCAATCTCTACTTCACCATATTCTCCTAATCTTTCGAAAAGGGTCCATATGTTTTTTTATTGACCTTCTTATGAACAGTATATATTTTATTAGATTTTTTTATTAATACCTAGGGACTTTTCAGCAATATCTGTCTTTCATTTCTTGTAAAAAGCATATAATTAATTTTAAAAAGGTCTGTTAGTTGTATTTTATTTTATCATTAAATATGATTTTTTTAAAGCTAAATTTCTTTTAAAACTAATACGTATATAGAAAAAACCATCCGGCTTTAAATTTATCTTTTCTGAGTTTAACAGGAGAATCACAAGTCGAACAACAATAAGATGAGATATTATATTCTCACTTATTAAATAGTTGGATAAGTCATCTACTTGATACTAGCTCATTACACTTTATTTTATAAAAAACCAAGCAAAATTGCGCATGGAAGGATAAAAATAAAAGTTAGAGTTTTTTAACTTTTAAAACCTCTAGACCTTTTTTGAATTTTTTAATAATTTTACAAAAGTCTCGGAATTTTCATCCTTACCGCTGTTTGGAATAAACCTGTATTACTCGGTGGTAATTTTAAACAAACTGACAATGTTGTTGTGAATGATAATAAAAATGATATAATTGAAAACCTGATAAAAAGTTTTCCTCTGTGAAAATATGTTAGTATTATTAAATTAAAGGAAAACATGAGAGCTATCAATAATAATAAATTCAATAAGTAGTTAATGAAAGTTGGACATGGAAAAACAAATTCCATAGAAGTACCAAAAAGATATATTATTGAAAATCAAAATTTAATAAAACAAATATTTGATAATAGAATAGATAATAATGATATAGCCAACAGCGTAATCTTGACAACCAAAAACGAGTTTTTAAATAAAATAAATAATGATTTAACAAATTTAATTAGTGAAGATGAAAGAGTTTATTTAATTCTGATTCAGTGGTTTCAGATGATGAAGACTCAAAGAATAATTATACCACTGAATTTCTAAACAAACAACAACCAAATATCATGAATTAAGACTTAAAGTAGGATCTATCGTAATGTTATTAAGAAATATAGATCCAAAAAACAGACTTTTTAATGGAACCAGGATGGTTATACTGGAAATGCATGCCTATATAATTAAATACGAAATACTTAAAGGTAATAATAAAGGTTGTGTGTTGTGCTATATCAAGAATTGATATAGCACCCAGTGAAACACTGCTGACTTTCGTATTAAAAAGGTGACAGTTTCTAATAAAATTTGCTCTTCCAGTTACATTTTATGTATCACAAGGACGGTCATTTGATAAAGTTGTTCTTTATTTACCACAGCCTATTTTTGCACATGGTCAATTATATGTAGCTCTTTTTAGAGTAAAAGAAGACAATAATTTGAAAATTTTTATTGAAAAGGGGAAAGTATACATTGATAATGTTGTTTACAAAGGGTTATTATAAAGTAGAAAATTGTTTATATAGTTAATAGTTTATTTATTCGTTTATTATTTTGAACCACCTGTTTTTAAAACGGGTGCTAACTTAGTGGTTTTAATATAAAAACATAAAATCAAAAAATATACAAATTTTCAAAAAAAGTTATATTCATGAAAATAATTAATTTCTTTTTAAATAAAGCAATTTAAAGTAACTTTTATCTGTTTTTTATAATTAGTTTTTATCAAAATTCTATATTTGTATTTATAAAAAAATTGGCTAAAGTACCAATCTGTTCTACCCATTGGTGTGTGTCAAAAAAAAAATTTAACCCTTGTTTATTTTTACAAAAAAACAATTAACAAATCAAAAATTTTAATAAAACCTCGAAATAATTGTCTGAAAACCATCTTTTTATCATAAACTTTGATAATATGGTAAAATCTCAGTGAATTTTCTACAATGATTAGGTACTTCAGTTTTAATAGTCCTCCAATTCCCCTCAATTGTGTTTGTGTGAGCTCCTGTTATAGGATCTTTATAGTTCTGCTTATGATTGACAGTATAATGTTTGTAATTTTCTTTGTGTTACTGTATCCTTTCCAAAGATCAGTATTTACAACAGATCCTGATTTGACATATGGATCAAATATTGTGTTCATAGTGATACTGTCCCTTTTAACTACTGGAACTAGTATGATTTTTCTTTGCTCCGTTTTTTCTACTAAACCAACCACCCATACACCTTCTACAGTCCTACCTACATTGTACTTAGTTCTCCCAAATTTAGATTCGTCAGCTTCAATTACAACACCTTCACCTCCAATCTTCCCAAATGCTTTTAGATAAAATTTTTCCATTTTAGGTAGAAATAACTTAATAAATTTATGTATGGTTTTTTTATTTGAACCTGATATCTCTATGATTTGATCTATGTTATAATTACGCAACCATAACCATATTACTTTAAAAAACAGCAGGTAATTTGTTCTATAAAAAATAGTATTTTTAAATACACCATTTTCCTTCCTACATGAACGTGTTTTACACTTATATGTAAAGTTAAGGTTGTTTTTTAGTGTAATAGATACACTACCATTACATAATTCACAATATCTTGGGGAATTTTGGGACAATAAACTCTTTAATAAGGTTTTTAATGTTTCATTATTCAAAAAATTATTCATTTTACAAGGGTTAAATTTTTTTTTTTGACACACACCAATGGGTAGAACAGATTGGTACTCCAGCCAATTATTTTTAAAATATTGAATATAAAAATCAATATAACACTGCTCTTGACCTCATTTTTATTTGTTGAAAAACCTATTTGGAAATAAATACGTGTTAAAAATATAAAAAAGAGAAAAATAATAGTCCCATGAAAATTTTTTTTATAGTTTCACAAATTATGGTTAGAACATCTTGTCTCCATCTGACTTTACTGAAGATATTTTGGACTTCAATTCATCATCAGTTGTTTCTGAAGAGGAAGAGCAGCAACGACCCAATACTAGTACCAATGTGGAAGCCTCAAATTACCTCAGAACTGCTATGGATAAACTATATAAGACCGAGATAGTCTATCACACTGTGACATTAAAGAATATTGAGTTTTTCAAAAATTCATCAAATGAAGAACAGCTGTTTTCCTTTGCTTGTTTCTTTAACAATGTTTTAGCACAAGCATTAGCTGGTGAATATGACCCCTTTACTGGAGAAAATAGCTTATTAGATATTGCTTTTCCAAATTTGATATTGCTTTTCCAAATTTGAAAACCTGTTCTTATGATATAAAAAAGAAAGAATTGGATATTTCAAAGATCAATGTTTAGTGGCAAAATCTCATATTATTGTAGTAGCTGCAGAAGATATGATTAGCAAGCGTGTTAAAAAGGAAGATATTACAAATTATTTATCATTACATACTCATTCTAATGATACAGAAAAAGTAGGAACGATTATAAAGAGCGTCGATGATTACGTCAGGCAACTAACAAATGGAATGATAGGCTACAGATTAGAAGAATCAGGCATACTTCAACCGGGTGCACGAATTTATCTTAGCATTTTGTACTTTAAGGGTACATGGCAGTACGGGTTAACCCCTATGAAAGAGAGAATGGAATTTACCAATATTGAAGGTAAAAAGATATTCAGAGATTACGTTTATTCTTCTATGATCTATATAAAAGTAAGTAGATATATGATAGATCCAGAAAAACTAATATATGTCTTCATTTTACCATTAAATGATGATACAAAAAGACGACATCTTAATAGATTTGAGGCTATTTATATTGCACCTACGTTTTTGGTTAGTAATGCTGAGGAATGGAAAGAAGTCTATACAAAATTTATCGAAAATTGCACATATGGTGAAGAAGGTAATTTTAGAATGAAACATGATGCTTTTGAAAATAACATGATAAAACTTATTTTTCCAAAGTTTGATCAGGTTTGTGAAGACATTGACCTAAATAAAATGTTTCCAGAGACCTATCAGGGCGGTCCTAATCCAGATTTTGCTAAATTTGTCATGAAAGTTAGAGTTAAAATTGATGAAAATGGAATAGAGGGGGCTGCTGCTGCTGAAGTTACTTATAATTGCGGCGAAGTATACCCAGAAAAGTTAGTTGTTGATAAACCTTATATTGTTTTGATATACGACCGAGAACTACGTCAAACACTGTTTACAGTAAAGGATAACGGGCTTAATGTGAAGAATTAAAAAGAAAACTTTAATGATTTTTAATTAAATACCAATTCTGAAAACCTCTTTTTTAGCAATATTAAAAGAATAGAAAACGATATCTCGTTAAAATCTTTGCCTTTTAAAAGAAGTGTATATAAGCCTTAATTATTGCATTCCAAATTGTATCTCATATAAAAGTCTTTATTTTTTACATATATAAACTTAATTATAAGATTTTAAGATTTTTTAAATTCTAAATCAAATATCAATCATAAAATGAATCTCCTAGTAATTTAATAGAAAAAATCAATGATTGTTAAGAGTTAACATATAACCTAAGAGTACTTTTTAGAAGATATCCGAATAAAGACATACAGCAAAATGTTTTTATTTTTGTGATTTTACTTAAAGAAAATGATTTACAAATATTTTAATACCCACTTATTTATTTAAAGGGATTTGAATTTACCTAATATTAAAAAATATATTTGTTACAAAAAGTAAAGAAAACGGTGAAATTATTGTGTACTCATATAATGTAAAATATCTTATAGTTCAATGAAACACAAAAGTAGAACGTTCAAAAATATAATTTTAAGAAATGATATATGCAAAATTATATTCTGGAGAGGAATATCATTTAAGAATCGAAGTAAGCAAAAAGAGCCAATTTAACAAAAACTTTATACTTTATTGATTATAAACTAGGAAAACCAAATTTTAACAGACCAATATAAAATTAAACAGACTGATAGAAAAACAATTTAGAGCTACTTCTTATTATGTAGATAAAATCTTTTGATAATGATGTAATAAGTGTTTAAGTAAACCAATCTCAACTTTTTTTTATCTAATATTCAGATATCCTAGAGAATGGACTATTTTATAAGACTATTTGTGTACTCTTATATAATAATATGAATAAGTGCTTAAGAGAACCAATATTTTTAAAAATGTAGATAAAAAAATACAGAAACATTTTCGTAAACGGCGTATAATTTCAGATTTATTATAAAATTCAAAAAACTTAAAATTTCTTATTCGGAAACAGAAGATTACTATGTTTAATTCTAGGTTTTAATTAATATTTTTACCTGTTGTCTTAATAAAATTAAATATAAAGTTCTAATATCAGTTATATTGATCTTATCAACTTACCTATTCAATAGAAATATTATATATAGATCTTACTATTCTATATTATATAGTTAATCTGTTGTACTCATAGAAGATACATTTAAATTATATTGTTGCGTTTAATCTGGAAAAAAATCAAACTTATGGTAGTAGTGCAAGTCCAATTTGTACTTTTTGACTCTTTACAACCTAAAGCACAAATATTTTTATCGTTGGTTTTTTGGTTCGGTTTTTAAACCTTGGAAGTTTTAAACCTATTTAAATATATATTGCAATTCTGGAAAACTGGAACTAAATGTTAGTAGCGTTTCCAGAATATATTTTTATTTAACAGCTAAAGACAAACAAAACTATTGAAATAATAATTTTTAACTTTTTATTATGATTATTATTATTATTATTAGTTCACATGAATAAATAAATAAATCAAAAATTATAATATGTTATTAATAACGTATGCATTTAATAAAAAAGCTTGTTTAATTCTAAATACCACTTATATTTAGTTTTTGAAAGTATATAATTGTAAAAAGAAATTTTTTATAAAATTATTAACCCCTATTATTATTTTTATATAACTTTTTATTAAAGACTAAGTAGAGGTCTCGTAAAATTTTAATTATATTTTTATGAATGTAATAACTTGGATATAAAGAAAGTATTTATTTAGTGAATAAAAAATTTAGTATATAAATAAATAAATATTTTATAAAATTTACATAGTTTAACTTATTTATATTTATATTTTTAAAATTATTTTATCTCATAATTTTAGGTTTTTATACAAAATAAATTTCAAAAACTTTCTATAGGTTTAGTAAAAAAACAGTAGTTAAAATTTAAACACCAATATATTTAAAAAAATACCATCAGGATCATTACCTATTTTAGATATAAGATATATCACTACCAAATAGATCCTAACAAAACACTTTTTTAAAAACATATATTTTTCTCAATTTATAAATTTAAAGATTTTAAGTTTTACATAAATACAATAATTTAATTTTTATATTTATAAAAAAACATTTAATAATGAATATTTAAATTCTAAAAAATTTATAAATAATCTAAAAGTTAACCCAAATAAGAATTGAAAATAACAGAGATAAATGAATATAAAATCTATAAAAATTACATTCTTTAGAACAATATAAACAAATTATAAATAATAATAAGGATGTAGAGTTATAATAAGCCAAATACTAATCAAATAGATAATTATCCTATACTAAAAGAACTCATATATTCTACTAGAAATAATATATTATATATAAATATTTACAAATAAACACATAAAAAGTAACCTTTTTAATACATTTACTTCTTATTTAATATACATATAATCAACAGTGAAATAATAACTTCAGAAAAAACTTATATAAATTATAAAAAACCAAACCTAATAAACTAGAACTCGACACTTCTATAGTTAATATTTAATAGAGTCAGAAATAGGTCTATCACAAGCAAATTTAAGTTAATATATAAATTAGAATAAGTTAATGTTTTATTCTTTATACAACGAAATTGGGATACACCACTTGACTACTCGAACATTAAAAAAAAGAGAAGAATAAAAATATCCTCAAATAAGTTAGTAATAGAATTTAATTACGTATTATCAAGTGGAGTATTCAAAAAACATAACCTAAGAAAAACATATTTATTTAATTCTTTATAAAATTTATTTTTTAATTAAAAAAAAACTTTCAGTGATAAAATAAAATGATAAGTATAGAAACCATTAAAGTAGATTTAATAATATTATATAAAACTACTTTTTCTATTATTTATATTTGATGAACAATTCTTTAACGTTTAAATCGGATCTAACAAAGCAAGTTATATTATTAATAACAAGTATAATGGTAGAGATAGAAAAAATGTCGTTTTTTGCTGTAGCCGGTCTTTCTGGTGTTAAAAAAATTATAACTCTTTATTACTTTAAACTTTTTATATAAAAGCACATGGAGGTTCTATTTTTTAAGTAAAATTAAGAAATAATAATCTCTTCAGTTGTTCAAGTGATCGAATAATAAAAACTATTCTAATTAGTATCAAAACTTATAAGAAAGTATTTGATTTTTTAAATAGAATAACTTTAAATTGATAAATAGAAGTAGAAAAAGTATAAGAATAGGATAAGTTTTATAACATTTAGATAGAGTTTTAAACACTAGATTTAACTTTATAATGGAAGAATTGATAATAGTGTAAATGTATTTGTTGTAAGTAAATTAGAGATAGAATTGGAATTAATAGAAGATGAATAATTTAGATCAAAATAGATACAAGTAATTATTATAATAATATGTATGGTAATTTGTTTAGTAAGAAAGAATTTTTTTATTATAATATAAAAATACTCTATCCTTTATAAACCATCCTATATTTAATTCAATAAATATATTAAAAAAGCTATATTTTAAAACTAAACTTCTTTGGTAAATTTTTAACTTTAAGAGCTCAATCTAATAGAATTGTTACTATAAAAAACCTTATTTTAAAAAATTATTTAAAAAAACAGAAAACGATTTATTATTTTTAAATGAACTTAAATTTAATATAATAAATTATAATAAAAAATTTTTTTTAGTAGTATCTGCGAATACTTCTATTTGAATTATCAAATAGGTTATAAAAGAAGAAAAAATAAGAGATTTTGTAGTTTTAGAGAATAAAATTTATGTATTATATTTAAATTCTGTAATAGAGTTTATTGATAAATTATAATAAATCACATTTGTATTAATTTATATTCATACTTTCTTTCTTTATAGACTCTTTATTTAAGGTTAAGTTGATAAAAACTCACTTTAATGTAAGATTATAAACATATATTATTAAATAATAAATTAGAATAACCTAATTTAGACCAATAGAATAAATTTTTGATATCTCTATAAAATATAGAGTTAGTCTCAGAAGCAAATATAAACTTAAATAAAACTGCAATTGTTGTTGGCTAGATTTTATAATAGAAAATAAAAGATAAGAAGTATTTGAGATTAGTTGCAAAATACTGATTACTTTTTTATATGTACAAGGAACTAGTTAGTTACTACATTTTATGCGTTTTTTTATTGTGAAAGTTTCTTATAAAAAACTTTGTTTTTTTTTCTTAATTTAAATGTTTTTTGTAAAAGAAGTGATTTACCATGCTCAAGTTTTATTTTTCTGAAGTTATTTCTGTTTATTAGGAGTCTATTCAAGGAATGAATTTTTCGAAAATGTGTCGTTGTGATTTAGAAGTCCTAAAACAAATATAATATATCATAAAAGACTTTTATTGTCAGTATAATATTATTACTATTCTATCTAGCTGAGAAAGTTTTTATGTTTAAACACAGCTTACATCTACCTGATCATTCCCTACTGTTATTTAAGCTAAACTCCATCATAATATTACATTTATAATTATCAATATACTAATTATTGAATATTCCGATAGTTAATTACTATTCTACTTTTTTCGAGATTATAATTTCTAAGTTACTATATTCCTACAATAAAAAATGATTTCTATACTTTATATCAAATAATAACTTTTAATTATATTTTTTTAAGGGTTGATAAAAATCAGAATCTGCTGATCTTTAATAGAATTTAATTAAGTGAGAAAACTCGCACTGAACAAGTTTTCATAAAAAATTAGCATGGAAAAGACATCTCATCAAAAGCGATGAAATGCTTACTTTGTGTCTTATCGTTCAGTTAAATTTGAAATTCAAAATAAATGGTTTAGTTACTGACATATTATTTTTTATTTTATACAAAACTGGTTTTTGATGTTTAATATGATCCAATGAGTAATATTTAATACGTTATAATAGATAATTTTTTTTATTTAATTTATGCATGTGTGTATTATAATTCCATACTAATTTAACCAAATAGTCTACCTAATAGTTTAAACAGACACCTAATATGTGTTTTTTTACATTATTTTATTATATTTTTATGATAATCAGGTTAATTATTTATGAAACTTTATGTATAATTTAAACATATAATAGATTTACATATAAAAGTATAATGAAGGATATTTAATATATAAAGAGGCAAAAATCTTTTATAGAAAGGTTATACCTATACACTACACAAAAGTAAACATAATCAGGGTATTTTAATTTAATAAACATAGAAATAAACTAATTTTATAGGGAAAACACCCTTTGAGTTCAAGTTTTATAGATCATTGTCACTCTGAAGCCCCTTTTATGCTTATTATTATTTATTTTTTAAATAGATGACAATTTTTACTGAATATAAATATTGTCTAGCAATCGTAAGCAAACCTTTAATAAAAATAGGTAAAATTTGTTAACAGGAACCACTCAAAATAATTTTATATTACTCTCTAGTGTCTATAACGAGATTGAATCTTGTGAGAAATTATTAGTTTAACTCCTTTTTTTACTTCGTTAACTAAATTAAATATTTTTAAAAAGTCATTCATAAACTTTATAGAAATTTAGTAGGATATCATAATATAGATGGCTTAATTTGGATTTTTTTATTAAAAATGTGGTAGGAGACAGTTTCGGTACGTACTGACTCGGCTCAGTTAAGAAAAGTCTCAATAAAATTATTTTAACATTTTCGAATTGTTCATAAAACACCAATAATAGATATATTTGGACAATATGGTGTAAATTATAACTTTGAAAAACACTAATAAGTCTAATTTGATTTAAAATTACACATGAATTTTAACTATAATCTAAAGAAGTGGTTAAATCATAGAAATTCATAAAAGTGCTGTTGCTTAACGAGAATATAAAAATGATTGATGTTTTAATAAAGAAAAGTGATTTAACAAGATTATAGAGAAAGAAGACTCATTAGCCCTAAAAAAATTATTAGTATACAATAGAAGAGTTTTCTATTATTATTAATAATTATAATGACATAAGAGACCATGAATTCACCGTAACTTAATATAAGAATAACTTTAGATACAAAAATGTATTAGAAATACATTCATAAAACATCACCAAAATATCGTATTAATAATATAGAAATCAATATAAACACACAATTTTTTCTAAAAATAAAGAATTTATTCATAGTTATTTTGTCTTCGATCTAAATTATTAAAATTTCGATTTGAATCTAAGATTTTTTTTCTTATGTTAAATTTTAGAGAAAGGTCTTGAAATCAATAAGTACCCAAAAAATTTGTAAATAGAGTTGGGCATAAAAAGTATAAATTACAATCGCTAAGTATGGAATAAGATAATTTGGAATGATGAAAGTCGATTTAAGCTTTTTTAATTTGATGGAAGACATTATGTATGGAGAAAAACTAACTGAAGATTGCAAGAAGAAAAGTTACAGCATCCTTTTTTGTTTCGAGGGAAGCAATTATGGTAAAACTCTTGGAAAGGTAGGTTTTTGTTGGAGAAGACTTAATTCTATAGACTAAACAGGTTTTATAATAAGAATTTGTATAAAAACATGCCACATGAAAGTGTTTCATGGTACAGTTTTCAACAGGATAGTACATCATGTCAAGTTTTTAATCAAAAATATAGGTTATTTATTGAGAATAAAGTTGAATTAATGAATTGACCACCACAGTCACTAGATTTAAATCCAATAAAGAAGGAAATTTAAAAGACAATAGAGAAATTTCTTCTAAAAAGTACGAATAAAATAAAGATATAATAGAAAATTCAAAGGAAGTACTTCAGAACTTGCATAAAAAAATAATTAATGGTATTCATAATAGATGCGTATAGACCTAGGACAAATGGAGGTTATATAAAACACTGTTATTAAAACAAATAAGCATTTTCTTTTGATTTTTTTAATAAAAATACTCTAAATACTATTCATCATTATTTACAACATCTTAGGACCTTTTAATTTATCTTTGGGGATATCCATCAAGAACACTAGAAAAACATTCCACTTTTTTTTGATTACTAAGTGTCTGTATATTTAATATAAAAACATAAAAAAATAAGTCATGAAAATTTACCATGTTACTTAACCAGCTCTGTAGAAAAATTGTGAATTCTGGTCAAACGTTTAACTTAAGGGCACACATATTCAACACTGCTGTAATCCTATAAGAGTAAATGTTGATATCTCCAATGGAATTTTTGACACTGAATTTAATAAATAATTGTTTTTTGATATTAATATAATCGTATAGTTATTTATTATTATTATTTTAAATGTTAAGTGCGTGGTACGTTGTCATATAATGACTATAACCCCAAATTTTCGCAGTTTAAATATTCCTTCAAAATCTTTGTTATTTAGAATACTGTTATATTTTAGATCTAACTTCTTAAGTTTTATTAGTTTTTATATGGGCTTACGACGGGCGGCCGATATCTCAAAATCAGAAAAATCTAGTTCTTCAAGATTTCTCATCCCACATATTCTTTTAAAATATTCTCTATCTAATTTTTTGATTATATCTTAGATTTAACTTCTTAAGTCTTATAAGCGTTTCTAAAGGCTCAAGAAGGCCGCTTGATAGATCACAATGGTATAATTCTAGTTGTTCAAGATTTATAATTTTAGATATTGCAACAAAATCTTTTCCATCTAACTTTTTATTATAACTTAGATCTAACTTCTTAAGTCTTTTAAGTGTTTTTAAAGGTTCAAGGAGGCCGCTTGATAGATCACAATGGTATAATTCTAGTTGTTCAAGATTTATCATTTCAGATATTCCTTTAAAGTCTTTATCATCTAAATTTTCATTATAACTTAGATTTAACTTCTTAAGTCTTATAAGCGTTTCTAAAGGCTCAAGAAGGCCGCTTGATAGATCACAATGGTATAATTCTAGTTGTTCAAGATTTATCATTTCAGATATTGCAACAAAATCTTTATCATCTAATTTTTTATTATAACTTAGATCTAACTTCCTAAGGTTTGTAAGTGTTTTTAATGGTTCAAGAAGGCCGCTTGATAGATCACAATGGTATAATTCTAGTTGTTCAAGATTTATAATTTTATATATTGCAAAAAATCTTTTCCATCTAACTTTTTATTATAACTTAGATCTAACTTCTTAAGTCTTTTAAGTGTTTTAAAGGTTCAAGGAGGCCGCTTGATAGATCACAAGCAAATAAACTTAACTCTTGAAGGTTTATCATTCCAGATATTCCTTTAAAGTCTTTATCATCTAAATTTTCATTATAAGTTAGATTTAGCTTTTTAAGGTTTGTAGGCGTTTCTAAGGGCCCAAGAAGGCCGCTTGATATATTATATTCGGCCAAATCTAGTCCTTGAAGACTTATCATTCCAGATATTCCCTTAAAATCTTTGCTATTTAAATTCTTATTAAATATTAGATTTAACTTCTTAAGTCTTGTAAGTGTTTCTAAGGGCTCAAGAAGGCCGCCTGCTAGATTACAACGGTATAATTCTAGTTCTTGAAGCCTTATCATTCTAGATATTCCCTTAAAATCTTTGCTATTTAAATTCTTATTATATCTTAGATTCAACTTCTTAAGTCTTATAAGCGTTTCTAAAGGCTCAATAAGGCCGCTTGATATATTACATTCGGCTAAATCTAGTTCTTCGAGATTTATAATTTTAGATATTCCTTTAAAATCTTTATCATCTAAATTTTTATTATAACTTAGATTTAGCTTTTTAAGTCTTATAAGTGTTTCTAAAGGCTCAATAAGGCCGCTTGATATATTACATTCGGCTAAATCTAGTTCTTCGAGATTTATAATTTTAGATATTCCTTTAAAATCTTTATCATCTAAATTTTTATTATAACTTAGATTTAGCTTTTTAAGTCTTATAAGTGTTTCTAAAGGCTCAATAAGGCCGCTTGATAAATTACAATTGAGTAAGTTTAGTTTTTGAAGACTTATCATTCCAGATATTCCCTTAAAATCTTTGCTATTTTAAATTCTTATTATATCTTAGATTCAACTTCTTAAGTCTTATAAGTGTTTTTAATGGTTCAAGAAGGCCGCTTGATAGATCACAATGGTATAATTCTAGTTGTTCAAGATTTATAATTTTAGATATTGCAACAAAATCTTTATCATCTAAATTTTTATTATAACTTAGATTTAGCTTTCTAAGTCTTATAAGTGTTTCTAAAGGCTCAATAAGGCCGCTTGATATATTACATTCGGCTAAATCTAGTTCTTCGAGATTTATAATTTTAGATATCTTTTCAATAGTATTATAATCAATATCACCCCCTCTTAAGCTTAGTTTCCTAAGGAATTTATTTAAAACTAAATATTTTAAATTTTCTTTTTCCATGCTATTTATCTCATCAAGTATCAAACCTGTAAATAAGGACAAAAATGAGTATTGATAGGAAACCCAAACTGAAGCTCTGAACTAGATAAATTCAAGTATTCCAGGGACGAGAGCTTAAATATTTCATTCATATAGTAACTTACATTTCTTAGTGACAGTAATTCCATTTTATGTTTGATTGATGAGTCGGATTTTTTTTCAGTTAGGCTACATGAAGTATTTGATGGATTATTGCTGTTATTTTGGTAAGAAGTAATGTACCCAAAATAGATTATTATCGTTAATAATAAAAAACGTCCAGTGGTTTTATTTTTAGTGAAATGCATAATAAAGGGGCATTATATTTTCATTTATAAAAAATCAACTTCTCCTATTTCGGAAGTGATGTGTTACTATTTTGAGATGCTAATTAGCTTGAACGGGGTTAATGGTTGAAACCCCCCAAATTTAAAAGTCTCAGTATTTTTTTAAAAAATTCGCTCAAACTAAAATTATGATTATTTCGATTTTAATAAATTTTGATAGCACAAATTAATTTCTTTTTTTTTTGGGAATTTCTATGTTTTTGGCTTTTTTACTATTTTGATAATACCAATTATTGTGTTGGTTTAATATATTTTAAATAAAAATTTGGTTAATCCACATTCTATGAAAATATAATACTATGAGAATAATATAGATGGTTTCTTTTAGCTCTAAATGAATTTACTATTTTTATCATTTAAATTATTGCTGTGTTTAAATCATAACTACGTATTTTCATTTATTTATTTATTAACCAATGATTAGCATTAAAAAGAAAATATAAGATTTGATTTGGAAAATGTTAGGGCATGTGACTTCGATATAAATTTAGAAATTAAAAAGGCAACATAAACAGCCAGTAAAATCAATTAATAGTTTATTTTTCAATTTTTAAATTTTATTTACTGCTCTTGTTATAAAAACACAGATGATATTCATCAATTTCTATTTAAATGATATTTTCATAAATATAGTATTGGAAAGTGAGGTTACACTAATAACCACTATATTTTAAATAGAATATATTATATTCTCAAAATTGACAATAATTTTAACTTTAAAAAGTTTCTGAAAATACTAATTATATTATTATTTATCAAATTGCTGAGATACCAATTTTGATTATAAATGATTTACGTAATATCATTTTTAAATGTTTGTTAAAAGTACAAATAAATAAACAAGGAAAATATGTTTAGTTTTTTTGGTTAACAATAATAACAAAATCAATAACTATGTGTTATTAAATTCTTTTGAAATATAATAATTTAGTTTTTTCAGAAAACAGATTTCACAAATTTGAGTTATTTTCAATAAATAAATAGAATTGAACTATTACAAAAGATTAAAGCTATAAAATTCTAAATTCTATTTTTTTCTTTAATATGTTAAATGTCTATTTAAAAGTTAACATTTTATAAAAAAAATAATAAAATAGACTACTCCTTTATATATATAACTTTTACAGGACAATTTTCATTAATTTATAGTAAACTCTTTTCTTTTTGTTTTTAAATTATAATTGAATACATAAATAAGTATAAAACTATGAATAAATAATAGATTAGAGTAGATAAAAATATATATAGCTATACTTCCTGTAATAAATAAATGAACTATAATAAATAGTTTTTATTGAATTTTATTTTTGTATAACAATAAAAAACATGTTACCATAAATTAATTATATGTATTGTAATATAAACCACAATTATAAAACTATCATTATATAAGACTTATATATCAAAATAATTCTACAGATTTTTTAAATTTTTAGTTTTTATAAAATATCTTATTTTTCTTTTTAAAATTATGAGAAGTCGCCAGTCTTTAATTTTCTTTAGCTAAATACTGTCTAGGATTTTATTATAATAATTTCGTAATAAGACAGAGTTACATCTCTGAAGTGATTAATATAGAATAAGTTTTATTTTTTTTATAAAACAAAGCCTTTTTCTCTTATTATATTCATTTTTATCAGAAATAAAAAAACAATCGTTAAAGTCCTTTTTTGATAATAATATATAAATAACAATAAAATAAGGGCTAATGATGATAAAGAATCTAAATTCTTATAAAATTAATTAATATAGATACATTTAGACGCTTCAATTATTAAATAAGTCAGTAATATTAAATATTATAAATTCATTAGACATTGTTCTTGATATTTTTCTATTACTTAAGAATTAAATACTCATAAATAAATACACTTAGAAAAGCAGCTATTAGTATTTATTTAAAATATAAAAGTAGAGAAATACAAACATAGATTTATTGACCAAATAAATAAATAGTTAAATCTCAAATTTTGTTTTATTCTAAAAAGAAGTAGAATTTAAAGTTTAAATAAATAAATAAATAATGATTATTTAATAAAATTTATAACTTATATTAAGAGAGTATTCTATAGAAAGTATTATAACTATTTATGAATTTAAAATGATTATTTAATATAAATCATAATTTATTTTCAGGAAATATTTATATAAGATATATAATTATAAAAGCTAGAAATGACTATTTAATAAAATTTATAATTTATTTTCAAAAAAGAGAGTAAAATTGTTTATAAATTCAAAAAAGCTGTATTTTAATTAAATACAAGAAAATAGTCCATTAAATTATAATCAACTCTTATAATAATACTTATAGAAGATAAGAAAAAAAAGTTTGAATTAAAAAATTGAATTTTGATTTAAATAATAAATGAACAAAAAGAAGAGTCTAAATATAAATTTTATGGATTATAAAAAAATAAAAAATAAATTATATTATAGAAAAACCTAACTTAAGCAATATTGATTTAATACACTCTTAAAATCTTAATAGACTAAAGCTTTAAAAAATCATATACTATATCACTAAAATGAAGGTTTTATTGTTAAATTGTTTTTGTCTAAAAAAATTAAACATTCTTTTAGAAATAACTTATGATTACTACCAATAATAATATCAAAAAAAACATATTTCTTGTCTGTAAAATATTTTACTAGGATAGTATATCTTATGAAATATTTTAATTTATTGTATATTAATAGTAATTCTAGATTAAAGCAAACAATGAAATGATTTTTGTTGTGATAAATTTAAAAAAACTTATATTGTTAAATATTTTATATAACAACTATCTTATTTTGCTGAGTTTTTGTCCTAGATTAATTGTTCTTGAAATAAAATAAAATAATAAATTTATTTAAAAGTTAAAAATGGAATAGGTAGACCCTTTTTTGTAAAAATTCATAATCTTATTCTTTTGAATTATGATTTAATAGAAAAAATCATTAATAGCAGCTTTACTATTTGAATACAGGATACTTCTATTAATTCATATTAAAAGATTCTACCTTAAAACCTCGTTTTCAAGTAAAATTGAATTAAAAGTATTATAAATTTAAATAAGAAAAAGAAAACTATGAGGGAAGGTTTTGATCAATATAAACCAGAAGGCATCCTTTTTCAAACTCAATTGATATAAAATTCTTTAAAAAACATCCTATTTTATAATAACAAGAGTTTATAGTTTCAATCAATTTATGTTACTTGAGATTAAGACTTTAAATGATTTTGATATAACGTAGAAAAAGATTACCCTATAATATATATTTTTTTGAATAAGATTATAGTTATATATCAAAAGATACATTTCTAACAATACAATAATTTCTAATCACATTTGAAATGTATAAACTTATAAGAAATTTATATAGTAAAGTATTTTGATAATAATAGATAAAAAGCTACAGTATAATATATTAATCAATGATATATTAAACTTTATAGTAATACAGTAATAATTAATTAAATTACTAATTAAATAAATAAAAAAGTTATTAGAAGAATTAAATGTCATGAATTTATAAAGAAGAATTTATCTAACTACAATATAATATTAAGAAATTCAAGAAAATAGAACTGTAATATAAAATATATAAATAAATAATTAAAATTAAATAGTAAATAAATAAATATATTTAAATAAATATGAATAGTAGATAAATAAAACAAAATGAAGTAAAATAAAAGTTTGAAGATTACTTTATATTACACACAAAAATATATAAACAACCCTTTTAGTAAAATAGAATTATTAAACTTAGATTGAATTTGTATTTGACAAAGATAGATAGATTTAATCAAACTTATATTCAATAATTAAAAGCATTATCGATCTACCTAAATACTAAAAAAGTATATAATACTGACATTTTATTTATATAAAACTGAATGGATCTAAAATAAGAGGAATTAGATTAAATATTAGAATTTAATAAAAATTATATTCTAATTATAAGGCTTGATTAATGTAAATTCAATAAAAAATAAAAAGAGTATTTAAAATTAGCTTTAAGAACTTTTCTATAAACATTTATATGAATAGTTAATTATTGTATTTAATAATAAAATTAATTCAAGAAAGATAATAAAAAAGAAAAGCAATAAACGTTCTGATGAATTAAAAATTCTTAAAATGTGAATACAAATAATTGATACAGTAAATATGACTTGTTTATTAAATTTATGTTAAATAATATTATTTATTCAGATTCATTTATGTTAAAAACTTTCTTCTGATAAATAAAGGTCTATTTGTAAATCAAGTATAATAAAAACTAACTATAAACTTTATTGAAAATAAATTAATATTTAAGCTTAGCAATAGTGAGGTTAATTTTTATGATCAACAGAAATTTATGATAGATTAAGAAGTTTTATATTCAGAAAATACTATAAATATAAATATAAACAATAACAAATATAAAAATTCTAAAAAATATAATTATTAAGGTATTATTATTTATTACAAACGAAACACAATAATCCAACAAACTAAATAAATAAATATTAATAATACAACTTATACATATTAAAGAGACAGATAGCATCACAAAAGTAGATATTTAAAAAGAGTATATAAGTAAAAAACTTGGACAATTTAATGATGAACAGAATATTACAACAGAAAATAAAACAAGTGTTAAGGTTTAGAAAAGAATACATAAATAAAAAACTTGAGATAGAGGTTAACATTATCAAAAAAACAAATTTTGAAGCTTTTATAGAAAAACCGGGGCTGGTTTGAAATTCTGCCTACCATAAGGTAGTACCCTTGTGTACTTTTCGACCTAAGGTAGGTACCTATGTACCTACCTATGTTTTAAATTTTTTTTTAAAAAATTATTTATTAAAAATTATTTATTAAAAAATTTCTTACATATTTCAATAAAAATAGAATTAAATTCCTCATTTGTTGCATTAAATAAATATCTTTTTTTGAAAGTGTAAGTCTTTATCCAATGTTCTAGATTACTTCTCATAACTCCATTTTCATTCCTAAGACATCTTTTTAAGTTTGACCAAAGAGCCTCAATGTTGTTCGTGTGTACTCCATCAATAGACTTAAATCCATTGTCATGATCAACCTTCTGGTGTATAAGCCCCAAGTTTCTAGCAACACCAGGATAAGATGGATGACCATCACTTCTTAATATACTTCCTACCCTTATCT